CAAAACAATAAATTCCACAAACCCAATTTTTTCTTATTAAATGCCATCATTGCTGCTGCTCCTGCAAAATAGCTTCAGTCGTGTCCGACTCTGTGTGACCCCATGGACGGCAGCCCACCGGGCTCCCCTGTCCCTGGGATTCTCCAGGCAAGAACACTGGAGTGTGTTGCCATTTCCTTCTCCAATGCATGAAAGTGAAAAGTGAAAGCGAATTCACTCAGTCATGTCCGATTCTTCATGACCCCATGGACTGCAGTCCACCAGGCTCCTCCATCCATGGTATTTTCCAGGCAAGAGTACTGGAGTGGGTTGCCATTGCCTTCTCCATCATTACTTTTTACCAAACTATTGTATCTAGAGCCAAACTATAACTGCAAATGATGAACAAGTGTAACTCTAATAATAAAGTCTATTGATATTTTTAACACAAGTGTAAGAAAAATCATATGTCCCAACCTCACTTTTCTGTCTATGACAGAAACAGCTTCTTTACTAAATTAAACAATAGTTGTTCTTTTTTTTTTAATGTTGGAAGAACATTTTCTTAAAGTTTTGTGCTGTTTACAAGGTACTAGTTACAGACAGGATATACTTTTAAGTTTAATTTTTTTATTGTTACTTTTGAAAGTCTGGACATCCAAGACAATGAATCAAGCTTTAATTTGTACCATTTGTCACTTTTTGTGATATAAATATGATATAACTGACCATGTTGCAAAGAAAGTGTAGTTGTAGACCACTTAATAGAACATTTCCACCAAACATAGAATAGGTATAAATAAACTCAAAGTTACAGTTAATATTAAAACTCAGTAAAATAATCCGGAATGGTGGAGTCTAAGTTAGGTAAGACTCTCCCAATGATGTGAAAGTGTTAGTGTGCTCTCCTTGACATTTTCCTGTTTCTATAATGCAAAAGAGAGATAGATTACTGACCTTTTCTTAATGTGACATTTTTTTCTTCATATCCTACCATATTACATATCATAAAGAAAATACTGTAAAATTTGAATTTGGGAGTAAGAACTTTATTATACGTCCAGTTAGGTGAAAGAAATTTCCCACGAAATCAGTGCAGTGTGGTCTGTCACAGAACATCATCAGCTCCTTGAAAATAGACTTATTATAACTGTATTTTCTCCTCCCCTATATTTTAAAGATACAATCTTGTTCTGCTAAAATGGCATTAAAGTGTGAGAGCTACAACAGAGACATTTATTTTTTTAGGACCAAGTACATTTGTAAGATTGTTTTAGTCTACAAAATAGCTATTAGCCATTTGTCAGTTGAGCCTCTGTGATTAGATATTTAATTTTATGATGATTATCTTCCTTTCCCAAATAAACAAAATAATTAGAGAAAAGAGTGAAGTCACAATCCATTTAATACTCATAAAACCTTCCTGCTGATACAGGTTTAGAACTGGGCAACTGTAGTAGCTATAATCTTGCTTTTAGAGTAATTGCAGTTTAAATGTGATCTCAGAGCAGAACAACCCTAGTAATTAACCACCTTGCTTTTAGAAAACCTTTTTATCAGTATGTCTTTGAAGCATAACTAAAAGGAAATAAAATAATGTTCAGCATACTGGTTTTGTTTTTTTTCCCTGAAGTGGTTTGTCCTAATTAATTTGCTGAATATAGGACATCCAATGAACCAGAGTGTTCATGTTATTTTAATGCACTAAAAACATAGCTTTGTTTGGTGAACTTTATATTCCTTTCAGCCAAAAGAAAATTATTGTTATCAACCGTGTTCATAAAGCTTGTGCTTTTTTGAGTGTTTTATGGAAGATTTTATGATATTTTACTCTTACTAGCCTTGAAAATGAGGCTAATGCAACATTCCCATTTTATTCAGTGCTTCAAAATATATTTCTTTGTGTTTCCTCTGAAAACAACTGAAGATTATATTTTGGTCATTATTTATATGACAGTGAATGAATAGGCCATACTAGATGAGACAAAGCAAATGTCCCGTCTCTGCTACATCCGCACCCGGACTGCTTGAGTTATTCCAAAGACAGTGCTGCTCCTGCCCTCCAAGTGTTCGGTGTCAGGAGTTCTATCTAAGGCTACCGTTCTGAATCAAGATGCCCAGAAAGGAAGACCCAGAGGGATCGGGTGGAGAGGGAGGTGGGAGGGGGGACTGGGATGGGGAATACATGTAAATCCATGGCTAATTCATTTCAATGTATAACAAAAACTACTGTAATGATGTAAAGTAATTAGCCTCCAACTAATAAAAATAAATGGAAAAAAAATAAAATAAAATAAAATAAAATAAAACAGAAAAAAAAAAAAGATGCCCAGAATTAATGACTTTGACTTCAAATGAGTTAACAAAATATACTATATTAAGGATTAAAGGGATTATTTTAGGACTTTTTAAAAAAATTATAGATCAGAAGATATACCCTTTGCTATGATACACATTCATAAGTATTTTTAAGACAAGTCAGTAAATAAATGGTGGAATCCCCTACAGAGAAGAAATGTGTAATAAAGTATCATAATTCAATAAAATTAATACATATTATTAATTGCCTTTCAAAATGTCATTTTATTTTCTCATATTGAGCATCATTTTCTGAGAATATCCTTTGTTGAATTGTTATATAGGAAATGACAAAATAAGTTAATAATTCATCAGATAAAATAAAAACTTTCAAAATGCTTTAAAATGTTTTTACTAGTAGTATTAATTTCTTAGCACTAATTCTACTAATTTCATAGTAGTATTTAATTTCTTAATTTTAGCAGATCATAAGTGAGTATCAGATCTAACCAGCACAGGTATTCAGCTTTCTGCTGATCACACAGTTATAGAAATCAAATTCTGTTGCTTTCCATCTATAGCACTGATTTAGGACAGTCAAACAGATTTTTTTCACTGATGCCTCCTTGGTCAGTGACGTAACTCATCTCCATCTTTTATATGCTAGGGTATTGACAGTAATGATAACCAGATACAACTTTTTTTTTTTCCTCTTTAGGATTTGAGGTGAAGGCATCCTCTGCCCTCTAACAGAGATATTACAAAGTATACTTGTTGACCAGGCTCTTTGAGTCATGGTTGACAGGTTCAGCTATGCAGAGATGGGGTAAGCATTGCCATGGGAAAATGAACATTTTCTTGACCCATAAAAGAGTTAGGCAAGAGCTCTGTGACCAAGAGAACCAAATGTGTAATCCATAGAACTTACAAAAATCTGTGTCTCAGAAACAGACTCACAGACTTAGAGAATCAACTTATGGATGCCGGGGTGAAGGATTGGTGGAAGGGATAGTTAGGGAGTATGGGATGGACATGTACACTGCTGAATTTTGAATGTGCAACCAACAAGGACTTATTGTATTACATGAAATTCTGCTCAATGTTATGTGGCAGCCTGAATGGGCAGGGAGTTTGGGGGAGAATGAATACATGAATATGTATATGTATGTGTATGTATATGTGCGGCTCTGTCACTCCGCTGTTCACCTGAACATTGCTACTCAGCTCAGCTATACCGCTGTACATGGCAACCCACTCCAGCATTCTTGCCTGGAAAATCCCATGGATGGAGGAACCTGGGAGGCTACAGTCCATGGGGTCGCACAGAGTCAGACACAACTGACCAACTTCACTTTCACTGTACCCCTATACAAAATAACAACTTTTTTCTTAATCTTGTTTCTTAACCCACAAATACTTTCTCCTTCCAAGTATCTATGATTTCACTGTCCAGCACCTAGAAACTCTTTGTTCCAGGCTGGGTTCTCACAGATAACTCAGAGCTTTCATCTCACCCCCTAAACTTCATCTGCTTTCGTGCATTCTGTATGCTAAGAATTTCTAGCTCTTCCTTTGCTCACTCAACTTTTCTCTGTAGAATACACCAGCACTTTCTGTTATTTCTCTTCCTCTCACTTTTCTACGAACACAGAAGGCCCAAACCCTGTTAGCAAAGTTCAAAACAGAAGCAACTGAGTAGGAAGTTCAGAAGATAGGAAAAGGGAAAATGCATTTGCTTATATATGTTTCTTATGAAGGCCATTTTGGGAGTGGGTAGGGTGTGTGTTGGTTTTATGAAGTGGAGTTATACATAAAAAATAGAGAGTGAAAGTCACTCAGTCATGTCTGACTCTGCGACTGTATAGTCCATGGGATTCTCTAGGCCAGAATGCTGGAGTGGGTAGCCTTTCCCTTCTCCAGGGGATCTTCCCAACCCAGGGGTCAAACCAGGTCTCCCACATTGAAGGCGGATTCTTTACCAGCTGAGCCACAAGGGAAGCCCAAGAATACTGCAGGGTTTAGCCTATCTCTTCTCCAGTGGCTCTTCCCGACCCAGGAATCGAACCGGGGTCTCCTTCATTGCGCGTGGCTCTTAACCAACTGAGCTATCAGGGGAGATAGAAGAAGGCTACCAATCTGGGGGATCACAGAGGAATGGTTAATTTTCATACTGCCAAGGAAAAGAGTAATGGTTAGTGTCCTTTCATCATTATGCAAAATCAAAATTTGGCTTCTAATTTCTGTGAACATATACTGGACTTTGGAAACCTTGTTCTCAGTAAAACAAAACATGTAAAACAGTTAATCAGTTACTTTTTGACCTGATAGCACCTGATAGCAATGTACCATAAGGGGAGAACAAGATTTGAAGCCAAAAGATTTGGTTTTAATTGGGCCTTTTCTTCCATGTTACATGTGTCAACTTAAGCTTCTATTAACTGCTCAAGCATTTTTCTTATGTATAATGAGATTTCTCATTAAACTTGTAGAGTCACTGTGAGAATTAGACATACTATATATTAAGCACCTAACAGAGTGTCTGACAGTATGTACTTGATGGATGACACTAAAAGTTCTTTATGTGTTTAGTTTTTTGACTAGTTAAATATCTACTTAAGTGTATATATAATGTTGTTTATGTATTCACTAATTAATAATGGAAAATTTGACTGATATAACACATGGATACAATAATAAAGAATACATTTGTTTATCTTTATTACCTTTACAATGTTTTGCCTTTGGTTATTGAAAGGAATCCCAAATGTCTGAAAAGAAAAAATTAAAAAGAAAAAGTGAGCTTGTTAGAAATTACTAATCAAACATTGAACAATAACTGCACTGTTATAGCTCTAAACAAGTTGGTAAAAGCTGACACAAGACTTCTTAAATTATGGATGTGATTAAGCCAATGATCATTATGACAACATTAATTAATACTACCACTTTGGGCCACATGACTCAGCTTTGTCTAATGAGTTTCATAGGTCAAAAGCTCTCAAATGAGATAACCAGAAATTCCTGAGCATGTGCTCACATGAACATTCAAAGTCAGTGATGCAATTCAATATGAAATTAAACTCCATATTTACACACATATCTTTTATTAGACATGTATTTACTCAAATTATGGAAAACATTGAAAAATCTGAATGAAACTATGCATGTTATCTGTTTAAGGAATACCTTCATGAATTTTTGTGGTAAAAATGCTGTTTTTTGAGCTTGAGGAAGCAACCAGATTTTCCCCACCAAAATGACCATTATTGTTTTAGATTAGCAGGATGCTGCTCAGTTCAGTCACTCAGTCATGTCCGACTCCTTGCGACCCCATGAACTGCAGCACGCCAGGCCTCCCTGTCCACCACCAGCTCCCAGAGTCCACTCAGACCCATGTTCATTGAGTTGGCGATGCCATCCAGCATCTCATCCTCTGTCGTCCCCTTCTCCTCCTGCCCTCAATCCCTCCCAGCCCCAGGTTCATGGTGGAGAGGTCTGATAGTATGCGGTCCACTGGAGAAGGATGTTGTTGCTCAGTTCTAATCTTTCAGCGTCATGTTCATTGCCTCACATGGTCTGCATTTCTATCCCACATTAGTTTATGATTAACCTTATGACTAAATATATACTTTAAAAAGTATGGTTTGAATAAGTTATCTGGAAAAATACCCCTATTTGGTAAATGAGTTAAAATCTTGAGTTAAAGAATAAATAAGGTTCATCTCCTCAATTGAACACCCCCCACTACCTGAAGCCCAGGGTCTAAAACTATATGTGAACATTAGTAAGTGTTCAGTTAATAATTTTTTAAATGTTATTATTCTCTATTTTTATTGAAATATAGTTGAGTTCAAATGTTGTGCAAATTTTGCAAACTATTACATTTAGAATATGGAGAAAGAAATGGCAGCCCACTGTGGTATTCTTACCTAGAGAATCCCATGGGTAGAGGAACCTGGCGGGCTACAGTCAATGGGGATGCCAAGAGTCAGACATGACTTAGTGACTAAATCACTACATTTAGAATAAATTTTATTAACTTTTAATTAATTATGTTTCAAAATGTAGCATTATCTCTCATTTTAAGCACCTTTATGAATATCTGTACTTAAATATTAAGGAAATTTTAAAAATTAATAGCCTATCAAATATAAACTCTCAAATGTTGAAGATTTCTTTTTTACCCCAAAGTACTTTGACCATAGGAACATTTACTTTCTTAATTTCAACTGTTTGTATGAGTTATAGTAATCACATTCTATATAACCTTATTTAGAACAAGAAACTATAGGGAAGATATTTCTAAGTAATTTTGTGGTTACTACACTGTCAAATCATAATTAAGCTGATCCAGTTTAGAAATAAAAGAAAATATGTCTTTGAATTGGTAGTCTTGTAAAGTCTTAAAAGGAGTTGTTTAAATATAAACACACTATTTCTTTCTTCAAATCACCTGGTATAGTATTCTGTCTGCAAAGAACAAAAGGGTAAAATGTGTACTCAGGGTGACCCCAGGGAATGATCCTAGCATATCATCCAAAATCAGTGCCTTCCCAAATGTGTAAATTTTGGATTCAGCTTCCCAATTTCTACAAAATAGCCTGTTGTTTTCACTGGAATTGAATTGAATCTACAAATCAATTTGAAGAAATTGACATATGAAGAATGTTCTTTCAAACCACTAACACATTTTTTTCTTAATTTCTCTCAGTAAGGTCATTTATATTTTGGTAAATCTGGCTAAACATATGACTTTCTATGACTTTGCTGTCAAGGCAAAAAGAATTTTTTTTAAATTTTATATTTCAAGTGTATATTGCTAATAATATAGAGATATTAATGTTTTTAAGTTTTGACCTCAAACTCTGTAAGCCTTTAAGATTTTCTGTGAACTATTATGTTGAATGAAAACAGATTAATACTGTCCAAGTTTATTTTTTTTCTTTTTCTCACTGTACTAAGATCTCGATAATGTTGGATAGGGAACTGAAGAGTTGATATCCTTGATTAATGTCTAATTTCAATTGATTTATACAGTTCAGTAATTTACCAATTATTGAATAAGTTAGCTATAGCATCTTTTAAATGTCATTCTTAGATTGACAAAACTTCCTTCTGATCCAAATCTTTTAAGGCTTCATTTCTTCTTTTCATGGGTGAATGTTGGATTTTTCCTTTGCCTCTTCTGTTTCTAATGAGAAAATTCTTATTTTTTTTCCCTAATGCTGTTCAATTATGTAATTGAACTTTAAAATTTTTAAGCTGGCATTTCTGAGAAAAACACACTTGTTTATAATATATTTTCTTTTTTTGCATATTACTGAGAGCAAGTTGCTAATCATCTTTGATTTGGGAAGGGTGGAGGAGGATTTGAATCTTCGTAGCCTGCCATCAGATTATTAGAAAAGAACATATCTGAAGGACTTCACGAATGAAGTTTATGGCATAAAAATAAATATTTGGTAAAATGGTATAAAATTCTAATTTATTTCAGTGAAAGAAATCAAATAGTGGACATTGACAGGAGAGGGACAAAATGATGATTTAAAGAAAGGTATTGTTGTCCCTGAGGGAAGATATTATTTTGCCAAGCCAACTCATTAATCTGAAACTTGGAAAAGCTAGAATCCTGGTTAAATTTTAGAATATATTTATGGAAAATATGAAACAATAATGACAACAAGACAGATGCTTCTCCTTCAGTGTAAAACTCTGGAGGCACCTTCCCCAAGGTTCCTCTGTAGCAACAGAAAGCTAGAAATACATCCCTGGATCCGTGAGCAATAGAAAGTGTCTGAGATACCTCACAGGTTGCTTATGACCTAGAGTACTATAGAAGATAATCTAAAGATTTCTGCTAAAGAAGTATGGAAGTATCTGTGAGAGGACCAGGGGATTTTAAGAAGGGTCTTTTCTGGGATTGGCAGGAGGCACAGTGATCAGCATGGAAACAAAAGGGTTACATAGAAATGTCAGTCAAAGCCAGCAGTGAAAGAATATGATGATTGTCTGCTGCCCTTCTCTGTTCAAATTACCCAGCACTTCAAGTGCAAGGAAATAAAAAGGAAGAATAGGAAATATGACATTCACTGAAAAAAGATTCAGAATTCACTGATTTATTTGCACTGGTAAGATTAAGTTTCTGCCACTAAATGAACTAGCATATTAAAGTCAATATTATATTTAACTATGAAAAAAAATGAAGGTTTATTTAAATACATATTTTCTGAAATGATAAATTCCTACAAGTGATAAGTAATTAGTTGAATTCTTTGTGTTTTTATTCAAGTTTTTTGATCAAGAAAATTATTTTGTTTAACTTGTATCACAGGTTCATCTATGTTTTCTTTCTTTGTCACCAAGATTAATATAACTAGCTTTTTTTTTTCTAGTAAGTCTTTAAATATGATTGCTGTTCTCTGCTAGTACTAAAATGCAGGGTCTCAAACTGGGACATTATTCTCTAATAATTTTCATGACAGCTAAAGCAGAGATTGGCTTACTTTAGTCATTACTAACAAGGATACCAGCCTATTTTTAGATGTTTTTAAAAATATTTGGAGTACAAATTCATATTCCCTGCAAAAAAGATGCTGTATTTGAACCTATGTGGAAATGATTTTTTTTTAAATTTTTTTTCATGCTTTCTACATGCTTAGGGGCTTCCCAGATGACTCAGTGGTAACAAATCTGCCAGCAATGGAGGAAATACGGGTTTGATCCCTGAGTCGGGAGGATCCCCTGGAGAAGGAAATGGCAACTCACTCCAATATTAGTGCCTAGAAAATGTCATGGGCAGAGGAGCCTGGTGGGCTACAGTTCATGATGTCTTAAGAGTCGGACATGACTGAGCATGCATGCACCACATACTAAAGTGTAATTTTTTCTTCCAAAATATTGTACATTTGTCTTTTCTCAAATTGTTATAAGTCATTTCATTTTTAAAGTTAGCTTGGCTTCCCTGATGGCTCAGATGGTAAAGACTTTGCCTGCAATGCAGGAGACCCAGGTTCGATCCCCTGGAGAAGGAAATGGCATCCCACTCCAGTATTCTTGCTTGGGAAATCCCATAAACATAGGAGCCAGCTGGGCTACAGTCCATGTGATCACAAAGAGTTGGAAACAACTGAGCAACTTTCACTTTCCAATATTTTCACTTAATCTCAGTCTTTGTTTCAATGTTAGCTTAACAAACATGCTCTTTTACTTTCAGAGAAAATTAATAATTTAATGGCTGTTGTGGAGCAGAGTCAATAAAATCTATTATAAGGACAGCCAGGATCTATACAAAAAAAAAATGAAAGAATAGTTCCTTTTTTAAATAGTGAAATAGAGATAAAAGCTAAAAAAATTTTTTTCCAAAATATATTTGTCTTTATATGTTATTTAGAAAATTAAATTGAGTAAAAGGTAGTTACCCATGGACTTGTTCACCTGGATAAATTATTTCAGAAATGCATACAGAGAAGAATCCTATTTATTTCCATTATTAGATAATATTATTAGGAAATAAGTGCCTAAACATATGAATGAAACTAAATTCTCTTAACTAACTAAGGCTTCCCTGGTGGCTTAGACGGTAAAGCATCTGCCCACAATGCCTCTTCCTAAATGTTCTGAGCTCCATTAACAGGAAATGCAAGTCCAGAGACACCTCCAATGCACCATGTCCAGTGCACTGTATATAGTGCACTAGACAGTGCACTGTTTCCTTGTTTATCTCAGCAAGCAAGTTGAGTTCTTGGACAGTGAGTTACCAGAGTAATCC